ACACCCTGACGATTTGTTTATAGTTGCCATGGCAATGTAACATTTCCCCGCGCATCACAGAGTACATGACATAAGATTATGAATGTAAACATATGTAAAAAGAAAGCCCTCAGGTGGTTGTTAATTTTTGGCGTTGTGTAATTAAACTAGTTTTGTTTAATGTTATCTTTTGCCAGTATCTAATTAGCAAAGCCATCTGCTGAAAGAGTAGTAGTCCATTTGCCTAGAATGTTGTTCTCTTCATTTTTATGAAAAGTGTCTGCCTTTGCTGGTCCCTATCTAATTATCTGGCTGTGGAGTGTGATAATACACAGCTTTGTTTATATACTTCTGAGAACTGTGGATTTATATGTGTGTAATGCATACATAAAAAGAGCCAATCTCTTTTTCTTTTCTGCATCTGATTTACTCCTGAGATCACAGCTCTATTTACCATAACCAGACTATGTCTGTGTGCAATCCAGTCATATGTGTGCTGTGTCTTGAAATAATGAGGGCTTCGTTGCATCCTCTGGATTATTTATGCAGATATAAGATGGGTTTTCCATAAGGTTTTTTTGGTTTTAGTTCTCTTTGTATGTTTGTCACTTCCTGAAAGCTGATGATATCGTAAGTCAGAGTATGTCACTGGACCTGAGATAAACTTGCATATGGCTACTGTACCAATGAAAATGAACACTGTTGCATCCTCAGATTTAACATAATTCTGTCTAGGCTGATGGAATACACTTATGTATGCTGTATTGGAAATTAATATCTGATGTGTATCTCTATGTCTGTTTTTCCTTCTGTCAGTTACATAGAAGAGTGTGTCTTCCATTTGGTAGGTACTTAATGAATATTTATTAAATTAAGGAGATAATTAATGCATGCACATAATGCAAACCTGTAAGTTGTTGAGTAGTATAGGTATTATTCATAAGTAGTTACAGAAAAAAATTTTCCACAAGCAGGAATCGTTGTGTCTTTTAATATGTAGACTCACTGCCTGCTGTATCCAATCTCTGAAAATTCCAGTAACCACAATATTACACTATATGTCTGCTGCTGAAACATTAATCCAGACAAAGTATTGAATGGAGTAGAGTAGAAATATTTCTTTACTGGGCTATCCCGAAATAGAAAAAGACAAAAGATGACAAAAATTAAATATTTTTTAAAACAGAGACTCAGGAAATGAGACTATGAATGTCGTGTTGAGATCTGAAATGTAGAATGCCTTAGCATTTGTTTTGACTATTATAAAGATAGGTTTGGGTAGGTGCAAAAACGTCTTTAAATAAATTTAAATACAAATGGAAAGGTGGTTTCTCAAATCAGTAGTGGGATTTGATCTATAATCACAATACATGAAAGAAAATCTTCACTAAGAAATAAATGAAAAGTCTTGATTAAAAGGTATTTAGTTAATTAGTATGGATCTGGAAGAATAAGGAAGAAGTGACCAGATTAAAAAACAATCTAGTTTCAAATGGAAAAATGGATCACTGTGAGACATAAGATCCCAAAAAGAAGAGGTCTATTGATATTCTTGTCTCCAAATAAGAATATCAAAAAATTTCATATCTGCCAAGTGATCAAATGGTCAAAGTTTAGCTCACCTAGTGAATAGGGGGATACTATGGGATGAATCTGGAACACCCCATTCTAGTATAATCCAGAAAAGCCACTTTTCTCCATTCCATTTCTTTTCAAATTCTGTGCTATTCAATAATATGTATATACTCCTGCTGTCTTCTGGAATAAATAAAGTTCCATTCTTAATATAAAATTTCCCTTTGTCCTGTTCAGTATTCAGGTAGAAAGTGAACAGAAAAGCTGTACAATCATGGTCTTTAATTAATTCTGGGTGTGAATATTATACACAAGCTAGTGAGACTGTAATAAAATGCCTTAGGAAATTAACTTTTTCTAATCACTATCTTTAGAAAATCTGTAAGATTTGTCCTATTTATTATTGGTGTAATAAACTTGCAAGAGCAGTTGTTATTTTTGCATATGCTAGATAATATAATGAAATATATTTTTTAAACTCTCACATTCTTCCTTTTCTTATTTTTCCATTTCAATCCTGAGCCAATATTTATCTTGAAAATGCAAAGGCTGTTGGGGCATTAGGTAGACTTGTGAAGCTATTTATTTGCCATTTCAGTGGCAGGATCTGAACAATTTTGATAACATTTGGTAAATAATTCTTCTCTCTTAGCCCTGGGACTAATCCTGCTCTTTATAGCTTTTATGTTTATAGAAGTGAACATTACTATTTAACTTTTAACAAAATCACTAGACCAATGAAAGTCACTATGAATGGCTCTTTATCTAAAGTACAGTTTTCCTAGTAATTGTGTAACACCAGTTCCTCTTGCTGATATGTAATACTAAATCTTCTGGCAATATACAACCAAAGTTATAATGAGGTTTACTCCACTGAAAGAGAATATTATGGTATATCAGTCCTCAAGCCAGTTTTAAGTTTAAGTAAAGGCCAAGATGTGGATACCTACTTAAATAAAACCAATGGGGTGATCTTTTGTGGAGAGACCCGTGAAAGGAATATACTAAAGGTCAAATCAGATGAACAAAAATGCACATATTTTTATTTACTTTATCTGTACTTCATGGGGATGTAGTTATGCAGCTGTATGGGAGGCTGTTTTCTCTGGAGGTGTCATTGCTTTTCATGAAAATATTTGTCATCCTGGTATGGTATTAAAGTCATGTGTTTGCATCAGATGTTGATTAGCTGTGACTTTATCGTTTTCATCAAACATTGTGAACAGGGAAACATCACAGAAGGAATTAACAAATTATCTTTTCAGATGTTGATACTGACAGAAATTTTCAAGTCTGCACAAGGGAAAACAGTTATAGCATTGTTTTGGTTTCAAAGACACGGAAGCGGTTCTCTCTAGAATACTTTTCTTATGGACTCATATTTGCCAAGTAACATAAATTATACAAGAAACAGTGTTTGATGATTTAATCTCTGTTATGTAAAATTCTTGTAAGGCAGAAGATATTAGAGAATGGTGTTAGCCCGACTTTGTTATTCTCCCAAGTTTGGATAATTAAGAAAAAAAAATTGTTTTCTTACTAGAAATAAGGGTAAATTCATTATTTTCCTTCATATGACTTGATACTAGGTTGCTTTTGGTTTAGTTTATTATTTGACATTATTCCAAATTAACAACAAAATAGTCTCTATCTCAAAGTGCCTTTTTGTTAATGATTGTTACTGCACATCCCTGATCCTTCAGAAAGCCAATTTTAATAGTAAAATGGAAAATAATTGTAATAACAGGTATGGAGAATGGAGAAAATATTTTACTCTATAAAAGTCCACACTCTATACAATAATAGAAAAGAGAAAAAAGCCAAGATGCCTCAATTTGCTCAAAAAATTATTCATAACACGAGAGCTAGGCCAGGGATGTTTGTGGGCATCCTTTCTGTAAAGCAAGCCTTGTTTGTTTTCTTCACTAATCACAGATTCCATTTGTGAGTTAGCACCAGAGGGAAAAGCACACAGAGCAAATTAATCAGCATAAGTGAGATTTGAAACTTCTGAGAAAAAAAAACATTTAAAAGCTGTGGCTCTAAATATTTAGTCAGAGTTAATAACAGTATGAAAATAACTGGTATCGGGGAAAATCCTAGCATGAGCTGTCTGTTGATTGACTATCATTTACATATGCATCTTGGTAGTAAGGATATGCAAAATCATTCTTCATTATCTATGAATATTGATAAATAACATTATTTGAATAAAATATAAATATTTAAATGAATATTCAAATCATCTTGTCTCAAGGCCTCTCCTTTAAGCCTCCTCTGGGTCTATTCTGTGGTTTCACTGAAGTGATCATGTCTGCAATCAGTGGCATAGTCACCAGCTCATTGTTCTTCTCGAACAGTGACTAGATCTAAACATCACATCATTACTACCTAAAAGCAAATAGTAAGGGGGAAAATCCTTATTCCTCAGTTTTAGAGCTAAATATAAGCACATGACTAAATTTTATGTATTTGTTGTAAATTCTATGAGTGTGAAAATGCTGGTGCCAGGGTGCTACCATATTTCCTAATTTGTTTACCAGTGCCTTGTTTATATTTTCCCTTTGATTTAGTCAAAACCATGATAGCTGCTATTGTTTTGGTATTTCCTTATTACACTTTAAGTTCTGGGGTGCATGTGCAGATCATGCAGGATTGTTATATAGGTATACACATGCCTTGGTGGTTTGCTGGATCCATCCCCCCATCATCTACATTAGGTATTTCTCCAAATGTTATCCCTCTCCAAACCCCCACCCCCTGCTATCCCTACCCTAGCCCCCCACCCACCAACAGGCCCCGGTATATGATGCTCCCCTCCCTGTGTCCATGTGTTCTCATTGTTTCACACCAACTTATGAGTGAGAACATGCGGTGTTTGGTTTTCTGTTCTTGTGTCATTTTGCTGAGAATGATGGTTTCTAGCTTCATCCATGTCCCTGCAAAGGACATGAACTCATCATTTTTTATGGCTCCATAGTATTCCAAGGTATGTATGTGCTACATTTTCTTTATCCAATATATCATTGATGGGCATTTGGGTTGGTTCCTGGTCTTTGCTATTATAAACAGCGACACAATGAATATATGTGTGCATGTGTCTTTATAATAGAATGATTTATAATCCTTTGAGTATATACCCACTAATGGAATTGCTGGATCAAATGGAATTTCTATTTCTAGATCCTCGAGGAATCGCCACACTGTCTTCCACAATGGCTGAACTAATTTACACTCCCACCAACAGTGTAAAAGTGTTCCTATTTCTCCACACCCTCTTCAGCATCTGTTGTCTCCTGATTTTTTAATGTCCGCCATTCTAACTGGCATGAGATGGTATCTCAGTGTGATTTTGATTTGTATTTCTCTAATGACCAGTGATGATGAGCTTTTTTTCATGTTTGTTGGCTGCATAAATGTCTTCTTTGTTTTGATATTTTCTGCAGGCTGTGGAATGGGAGTGTGATGAAGCTACCAAGAAGGCCTGTTACAGCAAAGGCAAGTCAAAGGTAAGAAGGCCACAGTTATGAGCAGCCATCACCCTATTTTGAAGCACTCGACATTACATAAAGCACGTTGATATGAAGAGTATTGCTGATTATGATGCCATGCAAAGTGAAAAAATCAAGATTCAAAATATGGATATGGTATATTCTCACGTTTTTAATGTCACGTTAAAATTAACCACAGCAATCAATCATTTCCAAAAAGGGTTCAGTACATACGAAGATCAGATCTAATTCTCCCTTTCTGTCACTAGACTAAGATAATTAATTAATTCATTGATAGCACTTGAAGAAATGTGGACCAAATTTTTAAACTGTTTTGAATTCCTTCTTTTCTATTTTACAGCTAAATCTAGAAAGTAATGATATAATAAATGAAATTATTACATAAAATGTAATTTGTGATTTATTCTTTACAATGTATCTCAACCTGTGTTTTATAATACACTCTCTTTGATACTAACATCTACATCCCCATGTTCCTGTGGAATGTGCAGTTTACATCTAAGGTTGGAAATATGTATCTTGAGCACGTGTGTATGGCAGACTTCTTTCAAATATTTGTCTACCTCAGAAAGATGCATGACTTTGCCTTTCAAGGAAGTCTGTGTGTCTTTGAGAAAATTATTCATGATCAACTTGAGGAAATTCTTCTGCAGCTTGTGCACAGGCTCACTGGGTCTCATTCTGTTAGTGAACTTCTTACATTGTGTTGGAGCATAGACTTTTCCAACGGTGAATTATGCTTTGGTTTACAGAAGAAAGCAGATATACACAGGGCAGAAGAGAGGGCTCACTATGCAAAGTTGGTCCCAGGACCAAGAGCTTGGGGAAAAAGTATAGCAAATACAGAGAGCACTGGCAAAAGATCCTCCCCCTTCTGTATTTATAAAAGAGTAACTCTCTCTGATTATGCCCCATTTCATTGTCTGCTTCCCTGCCTTTCAACTGAATAGCTGTGGAGTCAGACACTGAGGCAGGTCTCAACCAGCTTAGTTATGGGATTTCTCAACCCTGAATAAAGGGGTAGGAAGAAGAGAAGGAGGAAGATTCATCTCAGTCAGGGAAACACTTAGAGACAAGGGGGAAATAAAGCAGGAATTGATGAAGCCTATTTTCCTGAAGATATTTAACCTCAGAAAAGGCCTCTGAGATAAATCATCAGAGAGGTAAGAAGTTTTAAAAATACTCCAATTGATAAATGATTAGAATCTTATGTCTTCAAATGCTGTCCAGAACAAATAAATTATACAAAACCCACACATCAGGGACCCCTATAACCTTCTTGGTGAGTTTGTAGAAATGATGTATAGAACTTTTGAAGAGATGCTTTCTAAATAGTTTCCTTTTTCCCCCCTGTGGTGTTTGAGTCTCGGTGTGGGGGTTGTGTGGCTGAGTCCTTGGCCCCACTTCACTGGTCAGAGCATAGTCCTTTAAATAATACGCCCTGTGCTGAGTAATGAAAGGAGATCTGGAGAGTCAGACTGACATGAAGTGAGGGTGGAAAGATGGCTTTCTTTGTTTCAACTAGTCAGATTCACTGATGCAAGTGACATCCTTTCCATGCTTCAAAGGCCTGCACTGGGCCTTCCCTGGGGATATCAGTGCCTCCCAGGGGGTGCTCTGTGTGATGCTTCATATGGTTTGGCTGTGTCCCCACCCAAATTCCATCTTGAATTATAGCTCCCATAACTCCCATGTGTCCCAGAAGGGACCTGGTGGGAGGTAATTGAATTATGGGGGTGGGGCTTTCCCACGCTGTTCTCATGATGGTAATTCTCACAAGATCTGATGGTTTTTAAGGAGGAGTTCCCCTGCACAGGCTGTCCTGCCAGCTGCCATGTAAGATATGTCTTGTTTCCCCTTCATTTTCTGCCATGATTTTGAGGTCTCCCTAGCCATGTGGCACAGTGAGTCCGTTAAAACACTTTCCTTTAGAAATCACCCAGTCTTGGGTATTAGCAGTGTGAGAACAGACTCATACAATGCCCTAGCTCTCCCTCTTGCTTTTCCCCACCTCTTTTTACTTGGCTTTGTCTTCCTTCTGGTACTTTGACTCTTCTTTCTCTTCTTCTTTCTTTCTGAGTCCTAGGGGCAGACCCGTAAGTACTATTCGGCTTTGAGCAACCTAGCGAGAGAGACTGCTGATGTACACTTGTCACAGTGTCTGTCCTGAAAATGTGTAATCGGGAGCCCAGACCTGGGGGTCCCCACCCTCCTTCCCTCTCCCGGGTCCCAGTGCTGTTTACATGTCCGATCTTAACATACCCAGCCCATGGTGGCTGTATAAACATGTTCCATTGAATGAGTGAATGAACCCATGAAGCCCATTCCAGGGCAGTGAATTTCAATTTAGGGCTTGTCCTTCTCATCATTATCGATGTTTTGGTCAGATTGTTCTTGGATATGGTGGCTGTTCTGTACATGGCAGGATGTCAGCATCTCCCTTGGCCTCTGCTCACACAGACACAGCAATAAAGAGAGCCACACACGTCTCCAGGCATTGCCACACATTAACCTGATTGGATATCCCTGCTTTCATTTCCAAAATGGTAAATTTATTTGTCACTTTTACGTTGTTCATTTTGGTTTTTATGCGCCCTAGGAATGCTCTCATATTTCATCTAGATCATGTGTATATATTTGTTACAAAGATGTTTAAAAAATTAATAGTTAACTCCCTTCCTGTCTATGAGCTTCGGTATTCTTGTGCTCCTTGTATACTAAATGAGAGCATCAGATTACTTTATGTAGCCAGGGGTCTTTCCTCCTCATAGTCTGTAAATCCATAATTTACAAAGAATCTGTGTGGTTGCCTTTTGCTAATAAATTATTTCTACTTGGGGTAAAAAATTGCTTCTGCTGAATCAGAACAGGCCCACGTTTTGCCTTAAGCTGTGATCATTGGTGGTTTGGTTCTTAGAACTTAAGTAAACTGAACCCAGAGAACTGTTAGGAAAAGGCCATCTTTTGTGACTGATAGGTAATATGCCCTTGGTTCACAGAGGAGACCAATCGTTACCACACTTAATTGAATTTCTTGATACACAGAAAGCAAATGAGGGAAACAAATATTTTCAAATGAAATCAAACCTTTATGTTTCACATGCTTTGGGTTTTAATGGATTAAAAATAATGGGAAATTTTAGTAATTATTAATTGACTCAAACTGCGTTTGTGAATAGAATTTTCAACGCTAATTTAAGAAGATAGATGAAGATGAGCGTCAAGCACCATGTACTCTGAGAAAGACAAATCACATGTTCTTTTAGGTTGGATTAAGTATATTGATAAATTCACAAAGAGTTTAAATAACTTCTGCTGCTTGAAGTAACGCTTGGTTTATGTAACAGAACTGTGTGCATTGGAAGTTCCTGTGTACAAAAATGATGCAGCAGCTTTACAAACGTGTCTGTCTGGGTAGCAGCGCGACAGGTTCATGAGCGGTGAGAGGAGAGGGCTCTTCATTCACCTTTATAAGCTTCTCTTTCTTATTTGGCATCTCTCTTGCTTTCTTAACATAGTAACTGAGCAGTGACCATCCTGTGACCAAGCCCAGCTCCTGAGACAGAGAAGGGAAAGAAACAAGGCAGCCCCTATGAACAGGGGCAACTGGACCAAATGCAGCCTCCAAAGGACTGCCCCTGAACTCAGAATTCAGACAAGCCGCATTTCCCCATTTTGACAGTCCCTAGGAGCCCATTCAGAGAACGTTCTCACAGTCAATTTGACTGATAGGTGACGTCTCTGGGTGAATGGAATTGAGACCTTCTTAGCAGTCATGAGCTTAGAAGGCGAATTCAGCCGTTTTGTAGTTTTGCTTGTGCTGAAGTTCTTAGGAGGACTTACACAGAATTACAAAGTTTCCCTTCTCCCTAAAATAAAGACTAATGCAAAATGTGACATCTCAAAAATGAGAAAAATGCCAGCAATTTAAACTGAACTTGTTTTTTTCCTACTCTGAGAAAAGTGGTCTGTGCTGCCGCCCATAATGCATTTAGCTGCAGAGCAGAGCTGGAATGTGTGCAAGAAGGAGGTGGCTGGGCCTGCAGGGAGGACACTTCCAGTGCCCACTCACCGCTCTGATGGGAGCATTCCTCAGCTTGCTGCCACGCGGGGGAGAATAGAGATGACAGATTTCCCCTTGTTCCAGACATAGATAAGATTCCACATGTACTCTTTTAAAAGTACAATTTAGGGAATTAGGGTCAAGAGAAGTTTCCAGATTTTTTATTTGGGCCAGGTTTGTGAAAAAGGGCTGCCAAGCCCTTGTGAAGTTTGAATTCTGTTTTATTTAGAAAATATTCACCTCACTTGGAAAAGAGGGAGTGACTTTGTCTGCAACAGCTAAATATTCCATGGGAAAAAAAGTGAGTGTGGAGGGGAATCTGTTTTTATGAATTCAAAAAGTTACAATAAAACCTGTTGTATTTAGTTCTTTTGGACATAACATTATAGAAATTAAATTCTATAACTACTTAAGTATCTTTTACACAAATATTATTTTAAACACAAATAGTTCTCTCACGACCTAACAAGAGGTCCTTGTGTGTGCTGGGCTATTATGTCTGACTGATGTCCCTCCCACCCTGACATTTAGGAACTGTACAAGGAAACACAGCTGATTATTATGGGGATGAAAGAGCTGCTTTATGCTTCTGCTACACTTTATAATTTTCAAAAGTTTTTGTTCATGATCTCATTTTAGGATTTTTGACACCACGTTCCTAGAATTATTTTGCTAGTTAGTGGGAGAGTTTTGATTAGAATCCAGGGCTCCATGTATTGTCCTCCCTGTCACAGCCTGTGGTCCTATTTGCCAAGTTGTCAAATTATGCTGGTAAAGAAGTAAACTCCTAGTGAACAGGAGAAGAGACTCATGATGTCATACTACCTAAAAGCCTGCTGGTATAGGGCTGGATCTTGACATTGTGTACTCAAGGGTCAATATTTGAAAGCTGTGAGTTAATCAATGTACAAGGCACATTGAAGCCCTACTTTTA